GAGTTGTGATAACAGAAAATTTAAAGGCTCGTAATGCTGCCAGAATTATACCTGGATCAATTACGAAATTTATAAGAGGAGGCTTACGCCAAAGTAAAACATTCAACTTATTAACATTTAACTTATTCAATCCAAGTTATTTTGACTATCGCCATCCTTCCTTACTGGAGTCCCGGGGATGGCGTGGAACAACACTGTCTAAGGATAGGAACGAAACGGAGTTCTCAAGTTATAATTTCAAAATTATGAACATTATTATCTATTATTATTATTATTATAGTTTAACAGGAGAAAACACTCCAAAAATTTCCTCTAAACGACAAGCATCTAAATCTCAAAGAAGAAAACGAATATTTCGATTGCTATGTTCTTACACGAAAATATAGATCACCACGTTGAATACAGTTAAATTACTAAATTCTGTTTTAATTCACCTTCTAGGTCCTCACTGTTTATGGGAAGTTCTGAAGAGGACAAGAAATCAAATTTCTGCATCCAAGTGGAAAGAAATGAAAATTTAAATAAGATTTTTTGATATCATATACTACGTTAACATCACTGACGTTGTGATTATTCTTTGCCCTGCTATGATGCAGCAAAATAAATACAGAAATTTAAAAAATGATCGAATCTGGGCATACTTGAGGGTTTTCTCAGTTCCAATGAGCCAAGCATGCGAATGAAGTAAAAAATTTGTAACCTTACGCTAAAATAAAACTTACCATTTGTCTATTGGTGAAACAAAGTTTAGTGAGTAGCGAATATTGAACCTTTTACTAAGTTTTGCAACTGAATCCGTAACCTTTCGCTATCTGATATTGGCACACTCATTTTTTTGAAATTGTAGAGATTTCCGTGCGAGTTACAAACTGGTACAAACTGCTTTCTTTTTGATGACGAAATAGAAAAAATGCAAGAAAATTTCGAAAACGAGTGAAATTCGAGAATTTATAAGGATTTGAGTAAAAATGAAGCCGTTAACCTAGACCATGCACACAACATCCGAGTCAGAATCTCAAAATTCGCTGAAACTTTGATTGGTGTGGTTATTTGACCTGCTAAACACAGATATCATATTCGTTACTTGAATTAACGCCTTGTTTCTTGTTTAAGGTAAGACCCCGCACCGTAAACTTACAGTAATCGAGCTAAAAGGCCCTTACCATGCAATTTTAGCATCATATTCGTGATGAGCTTGTCAAATAACCCTACTACGCCAAGTTTCAGCAAAATCTACAATATTTTACAATTTATCCCCTTATAACATATGCCTACCGTATCCCTAACTGCGACGTCAGAATATGGCAAAACTGTAGCTGTGCTTATAGCTTACGTCATAGCCTACATAATGACCAAATTTGAGTGCATCATATTCAAAAAAGAAAAGAAGTAGTTGTAAAACTTACTTAACGGCCTAATATTTATGTAAATTCTCAAGTTAAGAAATCGACTGAAAAAGTACACATGTATTCAAGTTGCTCCAAAATGGAATCATTTCATTTACTTCAGCATCGAATGCAGGTAGAGGTGAGGTTGAATCTCGTTTGTACATTATTTTTATGCTCAAATCAATGCCTCTTAGCTTGTCGGAGCGAAGGTGTCTCATAAATTTTATTGCACACTGCAACCTCCCATTTACTATCTAGCAATTAACAGCAAAATGTTACTAGGTATGTACTTCTAAAAAAACCTTCCCTACTCTGCCTTGAACGTTTGCGTTATTCTTTCAAAAATGATGTAATATTTCCGTTAGCTTTTCATCGCGTACCCTTTACATCAGGTTTTGATACAATTTTCGATTACATTGATTGATCAGCTTTATGCGCTGCAAATTGAATTTGTTAGCCTAATTTCTGAAAATGATTTCATTTCCTTTCTTCAGACAAATGGCGCCAAATGAGGCTTCACTTCCTATCAAGATTGTTTGGAAAATGTATGAAGTGTAAGCCACAAGAAATTAATACACTTCAAAGCAATCTTCAGCGAGCTAAAAGAAATTGCCCAGTAATTACCTAGAAAATAGGCTACAAAATTAACTCGAATTCCTAAAGGGTGTGCTAATCTTGAGATGAAAACGTCGTAACTATGTTTTATGGATCTGATGAAGAGCATGTTATTCCTAGCTTTTAAGCTTTGCGAAATTTGGCATCTACTTAATAGTGGAGCTGGTTGGAAGACTATTAGAAGACTATTAGACTATTAGACTACTAGAAGTTATTTTTGTGACTTGTCATGAATTCGCGATGTAAGTTCATTTTGTTTGCATGAAAAAGAGCAAATCGAGTGTAATTTATGGCAGCACAGAAAGAAATAGGGATATTGCATTTTGTTTGATTTCCAGGCTGAGAAAAAAACTTTATTTCCATACATAAGTTTCGCATCAAAAAAACATTTTGAATATTACGTTTGGAAATACAATAAATTATTTCAAAGCACGCCAATCATTTATTGTGGCATATAAAAAGCTGCATACCAGAGTATCAAAAAAAATTTCTACTTAACAGCAAAAATAAATAAAAAATTAAATATCAAACATCCGTGATACTCCCGATCAGCACAAGCTTTTTTGAATTGAAAAGCTGAAGGTACATAGAAGTAAAAGATTTTCTTTCAGTGTGGGAAAAATTATGAATTTTTTAAAGTTATAAATCAAGAAAACTGACTTATGTATCAACACAAAAGATTGATCCACCTTTTTACAGAGTTCAGTTAGAAAAGATATTAAAATTTTTGTATGGCTTACGAAAAAATCAGCTCTACAAAGTCCCTTGACGCTCTAGTGCATGGAAACTTTCAAGGTTGAAGTGAGAATCAATAGAAAATTGTTAACATTTCATGAGAAAAGAAAATCGGTGCATAACGGCTGCTTTTCTACGAAATGGTAGTTGAGCGTCAGCTGTTACATCACTGCGCTCATTTTCTTAGGGCCAGGTAAAATCAAGCACACACACCTTTTGCCGAAAGGACGACGATCACAGGAAATGGAGAAAAATGTTGAAAAAAGAGGAGAAATGTTGGAAATGATTGCATGTGCCGTTAGACGCTGCACATGCTACAGCTATCTATAACGTCTATGAAAAAGGTATGGATTATTGTCCATGATTTATATCTCTAGTCACACTCCATTAATTTTCTGAACATTACAGCATCGAATGCGTTCTCATGCACAGCGTACGAGATTTGTTTGGATAACGAATTCTTTTTCGCACATGTAAGAGCTTAGAAAAAGTGTCAATTGCTTTGGAACTGAGATTGCAGCGAGAAGGACGAAGTAGGCAGATGTAGCTTACAATTGAGCCCTCAACTCGGATGGAAAAGACGTACTAATCTTGACGAAACAGCTCGGGACTACATAATTTTGTTCAAAATTTTTTCATGAGGTCCGGTTTCGATACTTGGAAAGGAAATTTCACAACGATCACTAATGTTCAGAATTTGCTTTCATTAACCCATTGACGACGACGCCTAAATTTGCGTTTCGGAGCTATGGGACGCGATTTTGCACAACACTTTAGGTTGTGGGAAGGTTTCGTGGTTATTTACGAAATGCAAGGTTGTTTTATAAACAATTGTAAACACTTTCTTGAATGACGGAGCCTACAGGCCACAAGAGTGCAGAAAATTGGAAAAAAATATTAATATATGAGAAAAATACTAGACCTACAAGTGATATGACTTTGCAAGAGGTGTGGGCCATGCAAGAGGTGTGGGCCACCGGTGGTCCAGATCGTCCCTGGCAGCAAAAAGTGCGTGGGTCACCGGTGGTCCACATCGTCGTTAATGGGTTAAAAGACATCTCACTAAGTTGCCGCGACGATCGTTGCGTGATCATAATGTAAGATTTGACTCTACATTCTTAGTCGTATTTTTTACAAACAACAACGATGAGGGATTGATGAAACCAAAATAAAAAATGCAAAAAATTCTATTCAAGGGAAATCATGGGAGTCCGACGTTTCGTGGCGATGTTCTCGTAGAGTAATTCAATGAAAAGCCTTTCAATGAAAACAATTTTTGAATATTCAATTTTTTTCGCGTTGCTGTCAAATTTCGTTGTTAAATATCAAAACTCGACTTCATGAAAATCATTTTGGTCGCATGCCGTATTTTCCACCCCAGTTAGGGGCTCAGTTGTAATATCATGTTGATGCTCAATTCTTGCACCAAAATATTTGATGTGCTGCTTTCCCCACCCAGCTCTAATGAAATTTTCTGATTTGCTTAACAATAGAGAGGGAAAATCTTGCGCTTTCAAAAAGTGTTTGAGTTAAAAGCTTGAGAGCACATGGCAACGATATGAGCTGTTTAAGAAATACCCAAGGAGTTTTGGGTGCTATAATTGCTGAAACGTAAATGAAATTCAAATTTATTTTTGGTATTGGCTTTATGACACATCTCTTTGTAAAAAAAAGAAGCTAAAGGAGGATGTCTCTGGGAATTGTGCAAATTGATTAGTTTGTTTAGGCACTTTTAAAATAATTCTTTTCTATTTCTTTGGTTATAATTGTACAGCAGCCTAATATTAGGCTGCCCCATAAGCCTTGCACCGAAACCCAAATCCAATTTTTCTAGTAAAAGAATTCATTTGATTAAGTACTGCTCAAACATGCTTTCTAAGTGTGCTCTAAATAAAAATGCATATAACAGACACAAGCAGAAAAAGAGAAACAGTCATGTCGTAATTTTATCAAATTTTAACGCTAAAAAAGGGTCCGAGTCTGATTTATTTTTGATTTTGATGACTTATTGACTCAATGACTTACTCTTTTTAACAGGAAATCGTGCTAAATACATTTATGTTTTTTGAATCTTTTCAGTCGACGTTACGATTTCGCTACTCATAAAAGCTCTGATACGCATAGTAAAATAGAATATTAACTATCAAATGTTATCAATAATTTATAATGTAAGTATATGAATAAGCAGACAAATACAAATTCAAACGTTTTGTTGAACCTGTTTGTAAAGGAATCATTTATGTGCAAGACTTATGGACCAACCCATCATAAACAAGTGCAGATGCTGAGCATGAATGTTTCCTTTCCTTCAGAAATGCTCCACTTCTGCCTTTTAACTGGATACGCCTGTTGTATTTGGTCATCTCAAAAGCTTTTCCGTGTTTTTTTTGAGCTTCACACATTGGTGCCATATTTTTGAGAGATTGTAAGAGGGCTAATGGGGTTTGCTATATATGGATTTGTAGCGAAAATTTTCTGGTTTTCGGGGATTCCGCTAAACGTGCAGAAATGGCCTTACAAGGAAGTTTGTATGGCTATTAATTCAACATAAGAAAACGCGATTTTCAAATCATTGCATTCTCTAAGAGGAAACTTGAATGCAAGGTAGTCGAGGGAGCCCGTAATGTGCACTGTATTTAACAGAGATACCTCTTTCTTGTGAGTGGTGCAAGATCATTGAAAAGTTTAGATTTAGGAAACGAAAAGCCGAAATCTCGCAATGTCCTAAAAGCTTATCTACAGTCTAGACGAGCAGTTCAGAGGGATTTCTGGTGCAAATAATGCAGCTGTGCAAAATAATTAGCAGGACCCAAGTGTGTCATGCAATGCCATTAGAAGACACCTTGGCAAAAACAATACAAGATAAGCTCGAAATCGCCAATCCATCGCGGGCCCATCATTATTTTACCCTTGATTCTCAGCAGTTCTGAAGCATAGTTTAAGACTGAATTGCATCCTCAGTAAAACAGAGCACAATGTTTCTAATGAGGCCTGATAACTGAGGAGTAGTTCGTTCTTGTTACGCACTAGATATTTCGAACGACTAAGGTCAAATGATGGCTCTAAAAGGCTTTCAAGAATTATTTGGCAAGAAAAATGCATTGTAGCTTTCAAGGTTGAACTGTCTTCTTTTGAATGTTGAGAAAACTCCGCCTTCGTTTACCAACGGAGGCTCACTTATTGTTGTTTTTTTTTGTTTAGTTTGTCTAATCCATTGAGATTTAATAATAAAAAACAAAGCATTCTATTAGGTTGTCACAAAATTCTTTCCCTGTTTGCTTCTTTACTGCCATAAGCCATTTCTTCGAAAATTTCTTATGTAACTGGGGTACTTTTTGAGAGAGCAAAGCAAGTTCTTACACGGTGACGTTCAATCCACAATAGGTGTAATCCACACTAAGTATGAATCCAAAACCTAAAAAGACCCAAATGCCCAAACATTAAGAAAAATTGAATCTTCGTCCAAAAAAATTCTACAAACTCCCAACTTGTTTTAGCATATAATGTTTCGCATCAGACACCCATAAATATAACTGCTATATTTTTTTCAGTGCTAGAAATCAAAAAAGTGCAAGCGTAATAACTATGCTGGGCTGCTTCTACATAAACAGATTTACAGTATAAATCTTTACGCGTACCACTATAAAATTTTCAACCTTTCAAGTGCTTTACTTCTCGAGACATAACGAATTTAGCATAAAAACCCGAAAAAATGAAATTTTTTGAGTTTTTCGTGATTTGGGAATAATTTCGTTTTTCGATTTCTAGGCAAGGAAAAATTCAGCAAATGTAAACACAAATGTCTGATGTAAAAATTATATACCTGAGTAAGTTAGAGGTCAGTAGACTTTTTCTAGGGCGAGATCGGATTTCTCGAGCATTTGAAAAATTTTGAATTTCGGCCTCAAACTTCAGGTGTATCAAACCTTTTGTGATTTTTCAAAAGGCATCTTGTAGAGCTTGCGTTGCTCTATCACATAGTCGCTTGAGCTCTAGCTTAAAAAATTGAGGCTAGCTGATTTTCGCCGATATGAAGAGACTTATGGAACAACTTAATACATGGAAGCTAGATCGAGAGTTGAGCAATTGAGCAAGACAGCGTGAAAAAAATAGGCAACATTGGAGACACCGTAGACCAAAGAAATTATAAAGCATAGATAATATCAAGACATTTATATACTTGCTCATGCGTCGTTCAAGGCTCACAACAAGCACGTTGGCTGAAATAGCCAGTAATTACAATAGGTATTCCATTATTACTTCTGCTAAAGTAAATTTTACAGTTGAAAATCATGCACACACTGGTCCAGTGGATATCAAAACCATGTCATAAAGAAGAAAAATTCTTGGCCTTTCCAATTTGCTCAACTTCCTGATCAAAATTAATGGCTTTCTGTGAATTTTTGACCATGGATCTCCCTTTGATATAGCCAATCTCACACTGTCAGGACATGATTTTATATTTTTTGGCGTCATTATGTTTCGGAAGAAAACTGCTCAAAATTTCAATTCGCTTTGCTTCTTTTTTTACAGAACGGATCTGTCATTCGCCTCGCAAAATTTCTTTATTTTCGAAGAAACTTACTCCCAATTTTGGGGTCAGGAATTGCAAAGAGGCTTTTGAACTTAAAAAAATCTGCATTTATTATTAGACTACTACTATGCCTTTAAATTTGGCTGCGCGATAAATACCCTTGATTAATTCTAGAATGGACATACTTGCACACAAGGCCTCCAGAATCCCATTAATTCCAGAACATACTTTCACCAAAGGCTTTGTGCAGGGTGGGTTGATATAGGGGCAGTGAAACAGGAAATAGTGCGTTGCACATGAAAAAATTAAACGAAAAAACTACAACTAACATTTGCAAAAATTCAAACAATTTCTTTTGATATTCTACATTATAACTGTGTTGATTGGTAACAAAAGTGATATCATTTTAAAATACTATTTTCTTCACTCTACATAATAAACGACTCTAGTGTAAGAGGTGTCTGCAAAAAAGAAGAGTATAATGGAAAAAACTGAAAGTAGTAGAATATAATGTAGTAGAATATTAACAAACACATAACATATATTTCAACTGCAGTTTCTTTTTCCATTATATTCTTTTTTACAGACACCTCTTACACTAGAGTCAGTTATTATGTAGAGTAAAGAAAATAGTATTTTAAAATGATATCACTTTTTTTTTACGAATCAACCCAGTTATAACGTAGAATATCAAAAGAAATTGTTCGAATTTCTGCAAATGTTAGTCGTAGTTTTTTCGATCAATTTTTTTTCTGCGCAACGCATTATTTCCCGTTTCACTGCATCTATATCGATCCTGCACAAAGATCTTTGGTGATCTGCAAGGTTCTCCATCGTGGAGTTTATCGGAGTATTTATCGCGCAGCCAAATTTAGAGGCAACGTAGTAGTCTAATAATAAATGCAGATTTTTCCAAATTCAAGGTCAAGTCTCTTTTTGCAATTCTTGACCCCAAAATTGGGAGTAAGTTTCTTCGAAAATGAAGGAAATTTGAGAGGTGCATGACAAATCCGTTCTGTAAAAAAAAGAAGCAAAGCGATTTGAAATCTTGATTTTCTTCCGAATCATAATGACGTCAAAAAAAATATAAAATCGCGTCCTGACAGTGCAGGACTGGCTATATCAAAGGGAGATCCATGGTCAAAGATTCACAGAAAGCATAAATTTTGATCACAAACAGCTGAGCAGATTGGAAAGACGATGAATTTTTCTTCTTTATTACATGGTTTTGATATTCAGTGGACCAGTACTATGTGCATGATTTTCAACTGTATTTACTTTAGCAGAAGTAATGATGGAATACCCATTGTAATTACTGGCTATTTCAGCTAAAGTGCTTGTCATGAGCCTTGAACAACGCATGAGCAATAACTGCCTCAATATTATTATTTACGCTTTATATTTTCTTCACTCTACGATGTCTCCAATGTTGCTTATTTTTTTCACGCTGTCTTGCTCAACTCTTAATTTAGCCTCCATATATTAAGTTGTCCCATAAGTATTTTCATATCGGCGAAAGTCAGCTAGCATCAATTTTTAACTAGAGCTTAAGCGTTTGTGATAGAGCAATGCAAGCTCTACAAGAGACCTTTTGAAAAATCGCAAAGGCTTGATACACGTGAAGTGTGAAGCCGAAACTCAAAATTTTTCAAATGCCCGAGAAAACCGATCTCACCCCAGAAAAAGTCTACTGACCTGTAACTTGCTCAGGTATATAATCCTCACATTAGACATCTATGTTTATATTTGCTGAATTTTTCCATGCCTAGAAATCGAAAAACAAATTTATTCCCAAATTACGAAAAACTCAAAAAAGTCACTTTTTCTGGTTTTTTTATGCTAATTTCGTTATGTCTGGAGGAGTAAAGCAATTAGAAGGCTAAAAATTTTATAGTGGTTACTCATAAAGATTTATACTATAGATCTGTTTATGTGGAAGCAGTCCAGCGTAGTTTTTACGCATGCACTTTTGGATTTCTAGCACTGAAAAAAATATAACATTTGTATTTATGGATGTCTGATGCGAAACATTATATGCTAAAACAAGTTGAAAGTTTGTAGGATTTTTTCGAACGAAGATTCAATTTTTCTTAATCTTTGGGCCTTTGGGTCTTTTTAGGTTTTGGATTCATACTTAGTGTGGATCACACCTGTTGTGGATGTTTGAACGTCATCGTGTAAGAATTTGCTTTGCTCTCTCAAAAGGTACCCCGTTATCATAAGAAATTTACGAAGAAATGGTTTATGGCAGCAAAGAAGCAAATACGAAAAGACTTTTGGGACAACCCAATAGAATGCTTTGTTTTTTTGTTGTCATCAGATTTCAGTGGATTAGACAAACTAAGCAAAAAACAACAATAACTGAGCCTCCATTCATAAAAGAAGGCGGAATTTTCTCAGCATTCAAAAGAAGACAATTTAAACTTGAAGCTACAATGCATTTTTTTTCTTGCCAAATAATTCTTGAAAGCCTTTCCCATCATTTGACCTTATTTGTTCAGTTGAGGTATCTACTGCGTAACAAAAACGAGTTACTCTTCAATTATCAGGCGTCATTAAAAACTTTGTGCTCTAATTTTACTGAAGAAGCAATTCAATGTTAAATTATGCTTAAGAACTGCTGAGAATCAAGGGTGAAATAATGATGGTCCAGCGATGGATTGTCGATTTCAAGCTGTCATACTACATGAATTCAAAATTGCAATAAATTACTCTTCAAATTAGAATTTTTGCAGACCGTTCCCTTCAAAAAGGCTAAGAGCACTCACATATCCTAGTCCACCAAAGTGCCATCTTGAGCTTGAGTTTAGTCAGGTTAAGGTGTCTACGAAGTGGATTTGATTGTAAGAAGAATAAACATGAGAGAGATCTATTATATTCAAATTTCAAACCAAATAATAGATTACATACACGAATAATGCGCATAAATATGCAGAAAAAAAAGAAAACGTCTTCATGTCGATTGCCTCGATTATGACAGATTTGTATGACAACGGAAACTAGAGCCAAAAATTATAGACGGACACAGTTCAAGGGACACACGAACAGGTAAGCACTCTCATATCAATTGCTGCGCATGTGCAGCGGCAATCGCTCCGTAGGTTCCGAATAGAAAACGAGCAGCGGTGGTCGGATCTAGAGGAGCAACCGTCAGCGGACGAAGCGACAGTGATGAACCTGTTGGCGTCGACAGCAAACTGCAAGAAATTCGATCAATTCAGGAGCAAAAAATACGTTGAAGCCATCGAAACGGGCATCGTAAACAGTGAAATCGCTTAGGAAAGTGATTGGGCTGGATAAGTGCCAAGAGTGAACATTAAATTCACTTTTAAGCGAGGCGCGATGCAACCGAAGCGTCTTGAACCAGATTCTTAGGGGAAGTATAAACGAGTCATCACACGCAGAGACAAGGTACAAATGCGTACGCGGTCAGCGCCTCTCCGTTCAAGCACACTATCATTCTCCTTACCGTCTGCTGTCTCTTCTAAACACTCTTAACCGTTCGCAATGACATCCAGTCTCTGCGTGCGATGAATCGCCTATACTTTCAACGACCACAGCCGTTCGACATAAGACGCATATGGAAATACTTGTTTTGGAACGCTCATCCCAAATACAAAGAAGTTGTAAAAAAGGATCAAGTGTTGTCTGGTGTAGTGGTGAGTAGGCTAGTCTATCAAACAAGATATCACACGTTCAATCTCTGGTGGAGCTCAAAGTTCTGCTTTTTCTCTAGGAACATTTTTGTATTTAGCAAATTCACGACAATACATTCACCAATGGGTCGTAACACTGAAACTGCAAGATACGCACTGGTCCGAAATCACAGAGCTCTAATAAATAATGTAATATCACTGATTCCCATGCTCAAGGCGCTTCCTGACGCTTTCGAGGGCAAAGACCCTTGTAACTCATAATTTCGCAGATGTCGAATATGGATTTGAAATCAGCGTTATGGAACGAGCATTTCTAGTGATACACTATGTTGGAAGGCTGAGATCACCGAAAGTATTTTTTGTTAGTCTTTAATAAAATAAAGAGGCAATGACGCAAAAAAAAAATCCTAAAATGACATTTTACATTTCAAGTGCTTCCCTATGCCCCTATGCAGGCTTATCTGTAAACGAACTAGCTCTAAGTTGATTTTATTTATACGCTATATAGGATATGAATTACTCGTTCTCTCAAGTTCTTCTGGATGGAGCCTTCTGTGTTTCGATGTTTATTGTTTTATTCCACAATTTTTCAGTTTCTACATTTTCTTCCTGCCCCCAACATTCAAAACACTAACTGCCTTGAACATTTCGATAAAACAGTTAATGATAGATATGAACTAGTAGTTAGATTAGTGTAAATCATTGAGTTGGAAGAAAAAGAGGGTAGCTGTTTTCGAGTTTTTTTTTGTTGGTTAAAATTAGTGTTTTTCAGGAATTTGAGCATTTAGATACCGAAATTTCATGCTTGAAGTTCCAAAGAGTTGTGGTACACAACTGCTTATTGGAAGGAACTTATGACAGCTGGGGGAGGAATTTTCCACTTTTCGTTTTCCATTTTCTCCTTGATTTCTAAAAAGGAAAAAATCTAGCAATCGTATATGGGTGAATGCATTATATGCTGTGCGTAAGAGCAGCTAATTTTCAGGACTTTCTGAAGATCCGATTTTTGGCGTCATGAACTTTGAGTTTAAACCATTGATCGCGAGTATGTTTATGCTTAGAGCATCTTGTAAAGTTTGCTTTGCTCTACTGAGTGATAACCCTCACATATTTTTTCAGGTTCCTTTTGTTGCTTTACCATAAAAATTACATCCCTTTCTTTCCAACCCAATACATGTTCTATAAATTTGAACAAACTAATATTTCCCTTCGATTTCTTTCAGTGGTCAACTTGGCAGCCGGCACATCTATATTGGTAATGAAAAGTCGACTCAATGCATCAATTTTCCAAGTATACGTTACAAAATTTTTATAACATCATACATTTGAATTGCCCTTTGTGCCTTGTTGCCTTTTTTATACACTCTAGGTAATTTGAAAGCACCAACAATTATCCGAAGCCGAGGGTCTTACCTGGAAGACATTGACTGAATCCGTTCTGATGTTGGCATCGCATGTCCAAACATATTAGTGCGATGCATCTGAAGTGTAGCTGTCGGATCATCGGTAGCCGCCTGTCGTTTGAATTTGTTACGTCGATTTTGAAACCAGATTTTCACCTAAAGAAACGTCTTTGACTCAAAGTCTCAGCTTTTTTAGAGCTGGGTGCGAATTGTACCTGTGTTTCGGTAAGGTGAAGTTTCTGTGCAAGATGAGCTCTTTCCTGACTGCTAAGGTATCGTTTCATGTCGAACATTAGCTCTAGCTGTGATACCTGAAAAATTTAAATTTTTCATAAAATTAAAAACTTAAAATCTTGCTATAGAGAGAAAGTTGCAAAACTTTCAGCTTTTGCAGCTAATCCAAGCGATTGAAATATTTACCTGGTGTCTGCTAAACACTGTACGGGTTTTCTTCTTACGATTTGTGTTATTTGGATCAGAGCAACCGTCGTCATCGCTACCTCTGGCGTCTCCTATAACGCAAAAATATTTTGAATTTCAAAAAAGTCACGGAAATAAGGTCCCTTTACGCCTTTACCCGATTAGATAACTATTCTATAGCATACAAATAACTGATAGCAGCGAATATTCCGGACGACACATAGAAAAAAAAATCTATCACAGCTCTGAGGCTCAATGTATTTTCAAGAACGTTTACAGTACCATAAAATGTTGAATTCAACGGCAAAAAATAACCATGATATAAAGGTGATATGTTGTAGTAATTTGGTAATTGCTTAGTAAAATTGCTTTTATTTTCGACAGTTCTTCCGACAACCAGACGACTGAAAGCAAGCGCACTCTATTCGTGACACGCTCGCAGCCGCTCTGCAGCTGTTAGACCGAAGTCGCTTGACGTGAGTAAACAAGGAAACAAGAACGAAAACAAGAGGTGGAGGGAGAAATATTGTTGTGTAGACTATCACTTTCTACATAAATTTGATTTATATCCAATCATAGACAAAGAGACTCAAGGCCCACTTATGCTTGGCAAAACTTGTGCATCACCTCATTGTGGATGTTCAACCACTTCAATTGGAGGGAAGACATAACATGTAACGAATAGCAATGCTATGTTGAGATCATAAAAGTTGGAGTTGAAAGTACAAATTCGTTCTTACATTTGTTCGAGTTTTGCGAAAATTCAAACGTTTGGAAGAAACCATCATTCGTGATTCACTGGTTTCGTAACCATTTGCGTCGGTTGTGGTCCTTATTCGTAGCATTTGCGGCAAATTTGCCGTTCAACTTTCTTACCTGCATTGAAACTCGAAAAGAAATTTCTCTCTATCATAACTGACAAGTTAGACAATGACTTTTAAAAAATAAAGTTTTTTTGAGAAATTCTAGGACTTGTTTTTTGTGGTGGCGTGTCTTGCCGAAAAGCTGAATTTTTTAAGGATTCAAAATCAGGGATCTCAGAAAAAATTTGGATTTTTTTCTTCGGTAGCAAATTTATTTCCGAGCTCAATAAAAGTTGGAGAAAATTGTCCAATTCATGTGAGATATAACTTACAACATTTTCGTTTTTGAAACAAACAAACTCTGATTTAAAGAAATTAGGAGTAGTTCGCGGGTGCTATTGAAGAAAAGGGAGAATGTGTGTTGGGTTGTAGAAAAAAATCTCAACAACCCCGTCACTGTTCTCATGTACTTCTTTCCTTTTCCAAACTATCAGTGATATGATAACTGTGGAATATTCCACTAGTAATAGGAACCAAAAATCTACAATAAGAAACCCATACCCTAAACTCATATTCTACGACTGAGTACTTACTACTGCTGTCATTTTCCATTCACGAGATCTTTGAGAACTCACGCTTAGATTTCACTACTACGAATACTTTCAACCCATTATTATGGACCTCATTGTCAGATCTCATAGTATCCCCTTTGGCGGCCTCGGTACAATCAAGTACAACTGGTTTCCCATGAGTGAACCCAACCCCAGTTACCTAATGCCCTTGTCTCATGTCGGTAACTGTCGGTAACTGTCGGTAACCTACTTCCTTTGTTTCGAGACAATTATCCTAATTTATCAACTTCGGTCGTTCAATATTTCGAGGGCTCTTAAATTCTAGCATTCAAAGACTTTAAAATCACTTAAATCGATACTAGGGACTTTTTAGATTTTCGTGAAAGTCCTGTCATCCTTTCTCTTATATTCGAAATTATGTAAACGACCCCAGAGCCAAGTTTGTAAAGAAGTAACTCTTGATAAAGAACTATTAGGCACTAAAAAGCCGATTTTTTTGAAACTCTCACTGTAAAAAATATACGGTCCGGTTTCAATGACCAAAGTGGATACTGTAACTTGAGAAGGACACCCATTGCATAAATAGGGAGAACAAAAAAACAGGCTTACTGTTTACTTGATGGAGTCGATTTGTGGTCAAGAAAAACATCGAAACTTTTAGAATCAGTCCACATTCTCACACTCTCCGTTTTAAAATTTATTTTATATTATCTCAATTTGCCCATTTTGCTATCAAAGACTGTGGGCAATCGTTACTGTGAGCATATCTTTAAGAACGAATCAGAACGCCAATAGGGATGCTAAGGGTTAGTCATTGTGATTTTTCAATACTTGAAATTCTTTGTGACTATCGGTATCGAGAAGATGATTCCAAATTTTAGGTGCTGTTAGAGGTCAGATTTCAGGCAATTCACTTGAGCAAGCGAACTACTTACATTCATACTATCATGATTCTGGTCATCAAATTAGTATCTGCAATATACTCAACCGAACAAACTACAGTTTAAGGAGTCGGTTAGTAGTATACTATCTTATCATAATATTTTACAGGCTTTGACCAAACTTTGACCAACCATTTTTTATGTTAGAAGTATTCGAAACCAAACTACCTAACCCTTTAATACCGTAAGAATGGCATTTAATAGCCAGCAGTATTGTGAGGGTGCTGAAGACTTGCCGACGGCAAATTAATAACGGGGTGGAAACATTCACGTCCTTGATTTATTCTGAGACAGATTACTGTAACTATACCGGGACGCGTTTGGGTTTTCGTTTCTCCTGGTAAGAAAGGCCCATGAATTTTCACAAATATATTTTTGTGATCACTAATTACTCAGCTGTAATGATGTGTTTTGTTCCAGGCTTACGACAAATTTTGCAGTTTGAAAAATGTAAGGCCTAGGGTATGGTTCAGGGCAGATACCGTAACATACCACAAACTTCAGCATCGTCCTCGACATCAGAATCCATGGGGCTGTCTCTTGCAGAGCTTCTAACAGCATTGTCATGTGAAGCGATTTCCGCCTAAGATATATAGTACAATATTGTACAACATTATAATTTTTGATTGTTCCACCTTGCTCATGTCTTCGGCAGAACCCCGAGATGCACATACTTGTGACAGAGCGTGTCGAGACTCGGCCGCTATATCCCTTGCGAATACTGAAAACAAATTTTGTGAACACGCTATTGTCTCCTATTGGAAGCGCATTTAATTGAAGAGATAGTTAAGCCGCAATGAGGAGAAATGGATGAGCACATGTGAGCCAGAACAGGCCAGCACGCCCTTTTTAGTCATCATCAGCTCGAGGCAAATTCTTATCTCTCGCCCCCGACAGAGCCGAGAAGTCCCTGTAACAGGCGCAGGCACTCATTCTTGAGTTCCACAATTAGGGGAGGTTCAGCTTGGATTGTCTTGAACTGGATTCTCGAGGAAATGGAGGGCTTTGATTACTTGATCTAGTTAAATGGACAGAGCCTAGAACGCGCATCCGCTAACGTTGCTGCTGTTCACGGTGCTGATGCGCGTTCGTTCGGATTTTCCATGGGGGTAGCTGATGGGTTCGCGCTCGCTCAACCCGGATTCTCGAAGCAGCCTTAATGTGTTAAGTGGACCGCCGTTTTTGGTTCATTGCGAGTGTTCGATGATTATTTGTGCTCAGGTTAGGTTTTCATTTTGCTATCTGAACACAAGCGGTAGCGAAACGAACAGACTCCATAATTTTCCCGGAACTTCCTCAGCCCAAGCCAGCCATTCTGCCCAAGATATCAAGTTCTAAGCACTGATTTATCCTCATCAACATAATAGGCTAAACGAATATCACAGCGGCAAAAGAACAATAGCAATTGTCAACCACGGGTGGTAGATGCGTATCTCGATGCACACAGCTCTCGCTCCAGCTCGGCACATGTTCGCCTCAGATGTCGCCGCAAACTTCTTAATGACCATACCCCTAATTCATTCTTACAGTCTTTTGTTTTCGAGGGTCATCTTGACTCAGATCATCCGTAGACAAATTAGCGTGTGCATATTGGACGCGGGAGGGGGGGGGGGTACAAGCGTGAGGCGTTGATGGTTTACGGCGTCAACATATACCGTAATTCGTACGGGTTCGCTTTGATTTGAATGGCCCACTTTAGGCACTACTTGCGCAGAGCGAGGTTGGAAAATTTGGTAAAAGGTCACATTTCCGGCAACAAAGAAACTAACCAGTATTTTGGGACGATTTTAAGCTTGAAGGAGTCATTGGAAGTGTGGGAGTAGCTCCCGGTAACATCCACGGCATAAATGGCAGCGCTGTGCCTAGAAAGCCAGAAGATGCCAAACCGGCTGGTGTGAGTCCTTGCTGGAAGAGAGCTGCGAATTGTGGAAAATTAAGTCGTGATTCGAGTGTCATCGCTTCTCCATCTCCACTGACTGATGAAGCTGGAGACGTGGGTGAGGAACTGGAACGAAATTTTTGAGAATAAACTTCAGTGAGGATTTTAGAAATGGAGGTTTTATAGTTCGTGAAAAGTAATCAAAAAATGTCCAACTTTTTATGGTCGTGCTCAAGTAGATCAAGAATTGTGAATTTGCTTTTCGTTGGTTCGACTTGCTCTTGTGCATGTGAAACACCCTCAGCTTCACTTCCAATCCCTCGACGAGGGACAGCTTCCATTTTAAGTTATATCTGAAAGAAATTGATGACGAAACGATAGCAGCATATTTGAACATTCCATAATAGAATGAAAGAATGAAATACATCTAGAAACCTTAGACAAATGGATCTTATCAGACTAAGTCGAGTATGCACGAGTATTACAATGCCATTAGGCAATGAAGTGCACTTTTCTACAAAACGAATGTTGATGGAAAAAAGCAACGAAGCGATAGAAAAACAAAAATGAATTCGCGTAATTGAGAGCAATAGTTGGATTGGAAAACAAACGATTGTTAGCTGTAAAGCGCTTTGAAGCGTAAGCGTTTGATGATCGTTAGAGACTTTCAATTTAGGTAAACAGCTTTGTATAGACGAGATAAGTTGAGATTTAACTTTTTAACGGGAAAATAGCTGTTCCCGTCAAGGATTTGTGGGGTGAACACCAACAAATTAGCTGCGACATCGACGGGGGTGAGATGCATCCTGTGCGGCCCCGCCCACTTAGGTGTGGATACGGTAGCCGGCATCCGCGAATCCTGGCCGTCGCTTGAAAAAACAATTACCGAAAGCATTCGAGCCCGGGATGGTGATAGTGTGTATGTGTGGAAATAAGCAGTGCGTTCTCGGGCAGATTTTGGCCTCGTTTCGATCGTCGGCAAATCGCCGAGGCGACAATGTCTTCAGTGGCAATCGTCCGTAATTCGTTAAGTGGCGGTAAATGATGAACACAAAATCACACGGACACAAATCTAGTAACGAACACGAAATCGCAGTTTTCGCAAATTCCTCACTAGGAGAACGGGAAAATTAGAAAATTTCCGCGCCTGGCTTGGGGCTTGCGCTTACGGAGCGCCTCTCTAAATGGTCATTCGATCATTTCCATCAAAGTGATATATGCAAATGTTCGGGTCAAGCTCGGATTAGATGGTGTCGAATTGACAGGAAAGGTAAGCCGGATAATGAGGAACAACGGCTATGTCAGCATTCACGCTGTGCACAGAGTGTTAATGCGTACTTGCGTGCTAGATGAGCGGAAAGTTATCTGAATGAACAGAAAATGTGCAAGAAAATGAACAATGTCGAAGTACTAAGGCTTGAATGCAACTTGCTATTTATACTAATTCTTCGCTAATCTGAGAAAAGTTAATGACCGGAAATTGACATAAATTAAAGTGTAACTTATATGAATATGCTCAAAAGAAAAGACAGAGGTACGCCCTCGTACCAGACCTCGTGTCTTGCCACCTTATTTCACTTGATTAGAAAAAATAGCCTAGCCTCTTGTAAAGGGGATTGCTAATTAATTGCTTGTGTAGTGTATAAGACTACGGTAGGCGAAGCATTATCTAATTCCATGCCTTATTAAAATGAGAACGAAAGACTCGAACTCAGTTTTGAGAAAGAAGAATTGAAAGCGAAGACAACAGCTTCGATCCGATGTTACGCGTAATTTGGTCTAGACTATCTTCTGGATAATTAATCATACAATTTGAATGAAGGGGAGACGGTAAGGGGGATGGAAATGAAGTCTATAGGATTGTTATCACGAATTTTGCAAGCTGCAAAATTTTTTTAATTTTATGAGATTCGAAAACTTATAAAATATTGCTGTTAAATTTTTGCACACGAATGAATCTTTTGATAATACATATTTATGGGCAATAAATGGCAACCACAAACAGAATTTTTCAAGAACTTCCCGCAAACAATATCCGGTACGCCCGATAATGCCATTCACCTTTATTGTCCTTACTGCCTCCGGGGAACTCGTACGACTCTCACCGCGCCGCCTTGTTTGCTGATCTCATGAACTCGTATAATGTGCTAACAACAAGCATAAACAATAAACAAAGTAGTTTTCGTAGACCTAAGCAAACAATCCCGAAAAAAATGACAGGAAGTGATCGTAGTTGAGATTACGGTAAGGTTACGGTAAAAATTGAATTTCAAAGCGAAGGTGTATGAAACGATAGCGATGAAGCGGAGGGGTCTCTATAGCGCATATGAGCCATAAAACATAAGGGTGAATTGCGATACGTTGGAGCCTTTGTTGTGGAAACATATGTACATGTGGTTCGAAAACTTCAAATTATAAGAGAATCTTGAGTGTGTCCACTTGAATTTTGAATTTTGAAATTTTTTTTTAGAAATATTGCAAGGAAAAATGAAGTGCCTATGAGAAAGTGTGCTTGTTAAGCCATGCTCTTTTGCATAGCAAAGTTCGGAAAACATGCTCAATGGCTAATACGGTAGCTGCTGACAGATGTGTGTAATCATGAACCAATTACTGAAAGAGCCTCCGCGCCTGGATAAATGTCAAATTAGCTTTATGGGCGACAATGACAATATGCCGTTCGGCTTCAATTAGACTCATGACGACTAAGTCAATTCCTATAAAAATTCTCCGCACCATTCATGCATTGAAGATGTGCAATGCCCCCACGATGGTAAAAGGATTCATCTCATATATTGTGCATTTAATAATGAGAACTTAGAACTTAGCACTGGGGTACATCCGATTACGTTTAATATTATTCAAAAAGAGTCCATATTCACTGCAGTAGAAATCCCTCGAAATTATGAAAAAAATTACCGTTTCACTTGCTTTGTTTTTTTTCAATTAGTTCAATAAATCCACAAAATTGTTTATCGGTTTGTTTATTCACCTCCATTTGTCATCTTTTATTTGAGGTTGAAATCATACATCTTACGAGTATCAGAAGTGTTCAGTTATAATACGATCCTGTTCAATACTTAACACTTTAAGCTAAAGTCCTAAAAAACACATGGCCAGAGCAGTAAAGAAAAATACTAAACTTTAAAACAAAAATAAATTTTAGTTTTTTTTCGCGCGGAATACCAACTTGATTCAGTACTATCATCAATGTCAAGGTGGTAATGATACCTAAATGAAAGACCAAACCAGCCAGAGCTTTGTCTCAAAGCATGTTTCTCCTCTTTCTTTGCGCAAAAAGCCTTAGAAGGAATCTGAAATTCGCCTAAAATTAGTTCTCGATATCTGTCACCCATGTGGAAAATATTTGATCTACGGCGCTTGAGGCCTTTCAGATCATTGCTCATCTGCTAAAATAGTCTCTTAGTACTTCTTTTCATAAAATATAATGTCTATTCATGTACGTTTTCAATGCAGATAACCCAAATTAGCAATGAACTTCGCTAGGTCGATTAAAGAAAGGACATATTAGGTTGTCCCGAAGGTTTTGTCGGTTTCTTTCGTCGCTCACTAAAACCCACAGAACACCAATATGTGGACGATCTGGGTATCTCTTAATTCATATTTTTATCCTCTTTCTTACAGCTATATTTGCTTTCTGATCTACTCTGTCTTTGCAACGTTATCGTCACGGCTTTTCGAGCAGCTTTGCAGTATTGTCAAACCCTTCCTGAATTTTGAAAATTTTTATTTTGATATTTTTAAAGAGCGCTGGTAGCTGTTATGTAGAGCAAACCTTTGGCTACATCGTGTATATTTTGGATTACGTGGAGTGCGTTTAACAAGTCCCTAATAATAATTTATTTAAGAAAAACCAAGGCATTTTGATTGCGTTTGACCCGTAGAAATACCGAAAATTCCAAAAAGTAATTTTCCAAAGCACATCAAACTTGGATAGGTTGTATAAATAATGTTTAATAACAAACAAGTGCTAATTCGCAGAGAATCTAAAAGCTTACATGTTTTTGCTGCAGTTGCGTGTTTCATGACCTTGCCAAAAATCGAGACTTTGGAAGAAATGATTTTTTTAGAGCTAAAAACAGCAGGTTAGGAGAATCTAAAAACAATACCATGTAGTCCGAGAATTGCTTTATCTGTTCCATACTTAAATGTTTCCATAACTATGAAATGAAATTTGTGAAAATTAGTCGAACTTTGAGCAGATAAAAATGATGGGTGAAAAATTTTAGCACTTATCAGAAAAAGAATGCAGGATTATGGCTAGAAAATGTAACCATAAGAAAGAGAAGGAAAAGCTGCATCGAATGCATGTTTAAACTCATTCAGTTCTTTATTGTGCGTGGTTTTATAGCGATTTGAAAAAACCGACAAAACTTTCGGGACAACCTAATATAATTGTAGGCACACTTAAGCCAATTTAGGAAATGTTTGTACTTGTTACTCCTCCACCTTTTAGGTTGCACTAATTATTTGAGTAAGGTTAAACTCACTAGACGTTAAAATATATGCATGCCCTATCGAGAGAGTGTGATCGTTACGCTCTATTGCATCGCTACAATATCACTTTAAACTTGCAGTCATTTATTAAGATATTTCACCTTATCTAGTGAAAAGCTAATTTGTAAGGTTGAAGTACGTTTAGCTTCTAGTATGTACTCTGTGTGAGGGAGGAAGTGAAATTTTCCTTTTTGTGCATTTGTTTCTCGGTATGACTAAGTATGCAATTCTGAGCTTACGGAATATATTACCGAAAATTTCAAAAAACAGGAATGAAAGTAATATGAAATTATATGTTTGATCCACACATTTTTTGACCATTAATATTGGTTGGAACATAAGTCTTACAAAAATTTTTCGGAATTCCATAATTTTCTCCAGATTCGCGGAATCGGCTTGTTATAATATAATTTAGCAATAAAAGCCTTACTCTTTCCAAATGTTGCAAAGCGAAAATCATCATTATGCAAACCTAGAACTGAATTTCTCCAACATTTGATCTCCAAAAAATGCTGCAAGGCTCAAATTTCTAGATTTGATTTTACTTAAGTTTTATTTACGCTCTTCAATCAAGATAAATTTGGGCTGATAGGTCGCAACTACAAAAAGCTGTAATTTTCAAATTTACATTTGATAGTTTTGAACTGTTTTAAAATCTCTAATGTCGACAAAATACTGCATGAACCATATAGAATAAGAAATACTATACAGAATGAAAAAACGTTGCTTTGAACATTTTCAAATTTATTCCTTTGAATTTCTGATGAATTTTTTGAATTTTTTTGAATTTTTTTCAAGACTTATGCCCAACCTAATAAAATGCCAT